TCCCTGCCCCGCTTCCCTTCCCGCCCCCCGGGGTTTATCTGGCGATCTGTCCTGCCCCCCGGCAGAGGTGAAGGCAATTCACCAAGTACAGAAAGAGCCGGGGGAGGGAGGGGGAGCGGAGGGACCCTCTCTCTGAAGTTGCTCTCCAGAGGGCTGTTTCGTTTCTGCCCTCTCTCTTTCACATTCCTGCAAGTTTACCGGCCAGAAATAGCCTACGCCCCCCCCCCCCCCCCCACAAAACAAAAAAAAGAACAAAGGACAATAAAAAAAAAAAGAATTGCTCGAGATTGTAATTACCAGTTAGGTTTTATTTCAAGACAGCAACGAAAAACTGTGAAAAGCGAAGTGTTACGGAAAGCACAGCCTGGGTGCATTGGAAAGGAAACTCCTTCGGATCTCACGAACGGTGCAAGGATGCCATTGCCAGATCTGTAGGTAGCTCTAGCTCGGCAGCCCTCGCAACCTGCAGCAGTATTATACGCAAATGTTGTGCTGGAAAAGGCGTTTTGTGTAAGATTTCTGTTTCTTTCCCGCCTTTGGTCTCAGCTGCGGCTTCACCTAGGGAAAGTGCACTTCGAAGCATGCCTAGCCCTTTCTTAATGTAACTATTATCTTCGTAGTTTCAGGCTTTTCCCCACTGATTTCTAGAATTGTTGGCTTATCTGGTTTCGCGGAGCTACAGACTGGTGGAAAAAAAAAAATTAAAAAAAAAAAAAAAAGAGAAGAGAATAATAATATAAAATGCTAATAAAAAGACTCGACCAGGAGCAATAATTTAAAATGCACATTTTGCTTTGGATGCACTGTTGTTCATATAAAAGTTGTAAATATTTGTTTATTTAAACAGACTGAAAAGTGCAAAATGGAGATGAACAACATGCATTTCTTTTTTTAATGTACAAAACATTATATGCACTCGAAATGTTATAATTTCTAATATTTTTAAAAGTTTATATTTGAGTTGTACAGAATTAAGCATTAATCAAATATTTCATCTTTACTTAACATTATCGTTTCCTTAAGATATTATTACAAGATTTAAATTCTGTGCTAATAATGGAGAAAAGAACTTCTTTTTTTTTTTACTGTCTACCTCACTATAATGCAAGTATTTACAACTCTAAAGTTATCTGAGGTAAATTAATATTCAGAACATTTTTACAATACACCTTTACTGGACAATACTACAACTATTACTGTATTATTAAACGTTTTTTTTTCCAAAAAGTCAGCTTGCTTTTATATGTTCTATTATTTGGTTAAGTAAGTCTGAGTTCTCAAGTAAACATTGGCTCCAGTTCTAAAATGCTGCAGAGTCGAGTTGGAGCAAGTGCCACTTCAAGACGTACCTACAGCCATTCTTCCTATCTGAAGACTTTTTGTACTCTCACAAGATCTTTAGTTTCGTCCTTGGTATATGCCGGTGGCATAAAGCTGCCTTATGTTTTTATGCATTTGATGCGATGATTACTGTAAGTGGGAGAATGCATTTAAGGGGAAAAATTCAGGCAAACCTTTGTAAATCTCATCTGTACTGGGCACATTTATATACACTGTATGATGATGATGAGCGAAAGCCAATGAATGTTTTATAAATGATATTTATTTTGATGCAATGGGTAATATATTTATTAAATATTTCCTGGCTATCTCTTAGGTAATGAAGAACTATTCAATGAGTAGCTGTTTCAGTAAGAGAAGGATTCCCCTCCTTCTCCCACCCGGAGAAGGTGGTGCAGGCAGCATGGGGGCTGTGAGCCCCACTCTCGGAAAAAAAAAAAAAAAAAAAAAAAAGCCTCATCTTACATGCAGAAGGGCTGAAAGAGCTGCTCACCTTGTGGAATGTGTTTGAAAAGAAGGTTCTTTTCACGGAAAGTGGAATTTTTTTACCGTATCACGAGATCTGATCACACACGTTTTTCTCTGGCCAACTTTCACACCCTCGGACTGGTGCTCGAACAAAGGATTGCAGAATCGGGCCCCGAGTGTTTGAATAGCAGCAGCTGAGAGACCTGTAGAAGAGTCCAGCCTTAGAGTTGGTACAACTGCCAGAGGAATATTTCTTTTTACTGCTTGATGGTGTTTCAGGTTCATGACTAATTGTAGATTCAGAAATCGCAGCTTTAAAGAGAGCGTTAGTTTTAAAGTGGGTTCACTGACTGCAGCTCTGACTGGTCTGAATTTCGCTTGCTGCTCCCGACCACACCGGTTCAGTCTTCTGCTGTGGATCAAGCTCGCGCTCTGTTTATGAAGGAAAGCAATGGGCAAATTGCAGGCTGCAATATACTCTCGGAGGAAAAATAATCGAGATACGCAAGACGCTGTCAACTGGAAATGAACATGATGTAAAAATCGGAAATTTTACAAAATTCACAGATAGCGAAAGCTGAATGAATCATCTCTTTATTTTGCTGTCTGTTGAGCAAATGATTTATCCCATGTAGAGACAATGCTTTGGCTAAAACCATACGTGGAGATTTTCAATGCAATTTCCTTTCCCTGTAAAAACCAGTATGGCTTCTGTTGCACGCTTGGTAGCAAGCTGTACTGTCACTGAGCTGTCCTTTCTGCTCTGCCTCAGACATGGCTTTGGGGAGCTTCATCAGACAAAGTTCAGCTGTGGGAGGCCTAAGAAATCTCTCCTCAAAGGAAGCCCTCAAAGAGGCAACAGAGAAGATTTTGCTGTCTTGGATGTACAGTGTAGAGCAGTTTGTACCTTCTCCTACGTTAGCTGAATTTTTGGTGACATCTCTAATGGTTTGGAAAAAGGTTTGAAAGCCCTTTGTCCCAAAGGTCTGGTCTGTGCTTGTTAACCTCCAAGGGAAGTGAGAGGACCTGAAAAAAGGCAAAAATAGTGAGAATCTGCTGTAGCAGTCAAACCTTTTGGCTTTTACTTACTGAAAGAGAGGAAACACTGGCCTTTCTGAGCACGCGCTCTGGATGCTATAGCTAATATAACATTATCTGAGCCCATTTTGGCAAGTCTGCTATTCCTAAAGATGGGATCTCTGCCATTTCCTTTTTTAGGGCTGCAATATTCTTTTGCACAAAACTGAGAAGGAGCAGTATGGTGCCGAGAAGGAGAAGTGAAAAGATACAGCAAAGCTGATCGGTGGTCTTTCCTTCCTTGCACCTCCCTTCCTCTCTCCCACCCTCCCCACAAGAGCTAACCGGTAAACTGAACAAAAAATACCAGTAATTATTTTTTCAGCTTTTACCACAAATACTGCAAGCCTTTGTTACAGAGAAATCCAAATATGGAAATTCAGCAGATGCACAGCTCAGATCTCTTTGTCCTGCCAAAGTAATATGAATTTTCTTTTCCATTTCTCAACTCCCCATGCTCAAAATCATATTTAAAAGGGGGAAATGATTTCTTTTATTATGTTGCTGGCCAGAAGAGGGAGCAGAATCTATGAAGTAGTGGGAATAGACACCAGCGGACAGAAGACAGCTGAAGTCAGTCTGGCTGGTGGTGTGATACGTATCAGTAGATATTACGCGATTCATCCATCGCATTGGCTGTCTTGCTCAAACACAGGAAGACCACTGGCCCATTTTTCAAGTATAGATATGCATCAGAACAGTTAAATTCTGAGGACGTGAATGAAAAAAATAGCGTGGGGCTTAAGCCCTTGCTTTGTAAGTACTGCTCCTTTTTGGACCACAGACTCCCGCTTACACTGATTTATGGGAGGGGTGTATTTTTGAAAATGGTTTTTTTTGTGGGCAAATGCTGGACACCCTCCCCCCCCC